GCAATTGCATATAACTAGCTCTATCACAGTTTTTGTACAGGTCGGTTATTATTATATTAATATGTATGCTAAAAAGCTAAAATAATGGAAAATGGCAGCCATTTTAAATTGTAATAGCTCAAAAATGTGTACAATATTTAGTTAACTGTTGCTGTCATTGTTGTGAGTGGATTTCCAATTGAATACTGCATTTTAATGACATAAATTTACAATATTAGTGACAATTTTAGGAAAAAATGGCGGCCATTTTGAATTGGCTGGCAACCCCCCTTACGTATGAAAAAAAAAATGTTGCACATACTTTTTTGATTTATCTATGTCTACTCTACATCATATCCAATTTTTAAAAAATATAGCAAAAAAAAAAATGCACCCAACCAAAGTTTGCTGGACTATTTGTGTTATGAAATCTACTGTAAATACCACCAATCTTAACAGACCTATAAATTATGCAAATGGAATTATTTTTGCATGTAAACACTCTTTCTAATTGAAAGCTAACCACTTATAGTTCTAAATTAAAAATAATTCAAATAATAATTTTATTTATCAGCCAATAAAACAGTATCTTAAAAGCTTTGTTCACACTATTAAATTTTCTTTGACAAAAAAACTGTTGTATGCCCATATATAGTCATGATGTACCTATATATGGTCATGATGCGCCCATATATAGTCATGATGTGCCCATATATAGTCATGATGTGCCTATATATGGTCATGATGTGATGTCATCATCACCATATTTAGGCATGTCACATGTTTGACAGTCTGGACAGGGTTTTATAATCCTACATTGAAGATAAGAACTGAAGGGAACTCTGAAAAATGACAAGGATGTAATACATGATTCTACAGTGCATCTTGTTCTTTATTAGAACATTGTCAAGAATTCATAAAACGTTAATAATGAATAACCCCTAAACCAAAGACTGACAGAAAAAGGTCAGAGTAAAATAAGAATCTTAAAAAAGTATGTCATGTTTTGAAAAACATTTTAATAATTAGTGTATTAGCTAACATTTTAGTCATTTATTATCAATCATACTTTGATAATTGTACAATAATAATAATAAAAAAATTCAACAAAGGATTCTTATTCAACATGAAGGATCAAGGAAAATATGCAAATTTATAAAAACATTTTATATTATATTGGTAATTACTTCTTGGAAACATAAGTTTATATAAGATAGTATAATACATACTCCAAGTATTGAAATGCACGCCATCATGTCAGGATTCAATATTTCGACATTAATTATGTCATCATCAGGAATGATTCCTTGATTCCTGATGATGACATGATTCTTTGATTCCTGATGATGACATAATTAATGTCGAAATATTGAATCCCGACACGATGGTGTGCATTTCGATGCTTGGAGTATGTATTATACTATCATATCTGAGATTAATCAGTGGACCTTATATATATAGCTGAATACCAAGAATGCTGCTGGTTCAGGGTTATTGATCACACTGGACCTCTGCCACCCAACTCTCCCCATCCCAACTAGAAAATTCTTCAAATGCGCCAACAAAAAAAATTTAGAAAAAGCAACTGAGCATGAAGCAACCTGTTGCATTCAAACATCATAATTTTATGTTGTTACAAGACATCAGCGTCATCTGTGATTGTGGGAGCAATTAAGGTTTCTATTCAAGAACATGAACGAGAGTAATCAGTGGACAGTCTGCGCAAACAAAAGATTTTGCGTATTAATATCCTCTCCAACCGTTTAGAAGCAATTTTAATTACATGGCATACCTCCTCAGCGGGGTGATTAGTCTCCACGAATATGAGATGTCATATTAAAGAAACTTTACACATCAGCCGATGTCATAATCATTACGAGTTTCAAGCTTACATTCATCATTGTACTCTGGTTACAATAGAAACATCCTGAACATCCACGTCCTTAATTGGCTATGGTTTAGAGTGTAGCCACAAATTTACACATCTTCATTAACCATTACAAATTCCCACCATGTAGGACATGTCCAGTTTAAAGTAGGGTCATCTTGTTATTTTTATCTTACTGTATATAAATCTATAAATGTTTAAAAGCAGAGGAAATCAAGGTAATTGAGATTTTTTTTTCTAAACACACTCTACCTACTATATATTCAGTATATAATTTTATTGTTAAAATCAACCTGAGCAAACAGAGTATACAAATATGTCAGATATGAAAATTTGTTAAAAAGATACAACAATAAGATATTATCATAACTTTGATAATATCAAAGCAGTTATTTTAAAAATAATTAATTTTGGTTTTTAGTTTTTTTTTCTAATCCTAAATGATTGGAAAATAAAATTGCTGATTTAATTTCATCTGAAAAAGTGATCTCAGCAATCTTATGAGTGGAATTAAATATGTAAAACTGCTTGTCATCATGACCATATTTAGGCATGTCACATGTTTGACAGTCTGGACAGGGTTTTATAATCCTACATTGAAGATAAGAACTGAAGGGAACTCTGAAAAATGACAAGGATGTAATACATGATTCTACAGTGCATCTTGTTCTTTATTAGAACATTGTCAAGAATTCATAAAACATTAATAATGAATAACCCCTAAACCAAAGACTAACAGAAAATGTCAGAGTAAAATAAGAATCTTAAAAAAGTATGTCATGTTTTGAAAAACATTTTAATAATTAGTGTATTAGCTAACGTTTTAGTCATTTATTATCAATCATACTTTGATAATTCTACAATAATAATAATAAAAAAATTCAACAAAGGATTCTTATTCAACATGAAGGATCAAGGAAAATATGCAAATTTATAAAAACATTTTATATTATATTGGTAATTACTTCTTGGAAACATAAGTTTATATAAGATAGTATAATACATACTGCAAGTATTGAAATGCATGCCATCGTGTCAGGATTCAATATTTCGACATTAATTATGTCATCATCAGGAATGATTCCTTGATTCCTGATGATGACATGATTCTTTGATTCCTGATGATGACATGATTAATGTCGAAATATTGAATCCCGACACGATGGTGTGCATTTCGATGCTTGGAGTATGTATTATACTATCATATCTGAGACCTTATATATATATATATATAGCTGAATACCAAGAATGCTGCTGGTTCAGGGTTATTGATCACACTGGACCTCTGCCACCCAACTCTCCCCATCCCAACTAGAAAATTCTTCAAATGTGCCAACAAAAAAAATTCAGAAAAAGCAACTGAGCATGAAGCAACCTGTTGCATTCAAACATCATAATATTATGCTGTTACAAGACGTCAGCGTCATCTGTGATCGTGGGAGCAATTAAGGTTTCTATTCAAGAACATGAACGAGAGTAATCAGTGGACAGTCTGCGCAAACAATGGATTTTGCGTATTAATATCCTCTCCAACCGTTTAGAAGCAATTTTAATTACATGGCATACCTCCTCAGCGGGGTGATTAGTCTCCACGAATATGAGATGTCATATTAAAGAAGCTTTACACATCAGCCGATGTCATAATCATTACGAGTTTCAAGCTTACATTCATCCTTGTACTCTGGTTACAATAGAAACATCCTGAACATCCTTGATTGGCTACGGTTTAGTGTGTAGCCACAGATTTACACGTCTTCATTGACCATTACAAATTCCCACCATGTAGGACATGTCCACTTTAAGTAGGGTCATCTGTGATAATAAAAAAAAAACATAAATTGTTATTTTTATCTTACTGTATATAAATCTATAAATGTTAAAAAGCAGAGGAAATCAAGGTAATTGAGATTTTTTTTTCTAAACACACTCTACCTACTATATATTCTGTATATAATTTTATTGTTGAAATCAACCTGAGCAAACAGAGTATACAAATATGTCAGATATGAAAATTTGTTAAAAAGATACAACAATAAGATATTATCATAACTTTGATAATATTAAAGCGATTATTTTAAAAATAATTAAGATTGGTTTTTAGTTTTTTTTCTAATCCTAAATGATTGGAAAATAAAATTGCTGATTTAATTTCATCTGAAAAAAGTGATCTCAGCAATTTTATGATTGGAATTCAATATGTA